GATTCATTAAAAAACACATAATTACAAAGACCAGGCTGGTAACAGCTCAAGGGGGCAACATAGTTGAATCCAGGGATGACATCCTACAAGGAAGCTTAGTTACACACTACCCACAATAACAATCCATGGAGGACATCCCACAAGGAAGCTGCTGTGGTTGTGGTTGTTGTTGTGTTTCCTTGGGCGGCGGAGGAGGAGGTGGAGGAGTCTGCCGCGAGGGCGACTGCGGTTGCGGCTCTGGTCGAGATCCACCAGAGCTGGCTGACTCAATGGCCTTGTCGCTGGTCGATCCAGCGGCAGTCCCCGATTTCTTCTTCAAAGGGGTCTTCCTTGGAGGAATGTTAAAACTGGGAGCCTCTACACAAATATAATAAGGAAATCAAGATAAGTATCAGTTTCACTTCGACAGAGATAAAACGTATACGCAAACAGTCGAGCAAGTGGATCAAGAATTACCTGGATCATTCTCAATACGAACAAGGTCAAGAATCTCCTCGGTGGGGGGAGACAGAGTTTTGTGGGTGAGAAGACCACAAAAATGGAGAAGGTTCTCGTCTTGGAGAAGTGTATCGGACGCGACGGACTTGGAATTCCAAGTATGAATCCGCTGGTCGAAGAGGGGGTTTGTAGGAGGGGCCGAGGCTGCCTCTCGCGAGACCTCCTTGACCCAAGGAACGGAAGGCCAAGGGAAAGAGACATCGGGCCGAACAAAAATGAATCTATCAACCCACTTGGGAAGATTGGTGGGGATGTCATTTATAAAGTGAGCGCCGTTGCGGCTTTTTAGGTAGAGGCCTCGACCTTGCTAGGAAGGGCCAAAGCAGTACTGGAAGAAGTCTAGGTCAAATCGACTTAGACGGATGCGGCAGAGAATGATGAAGGTAGTTATGAAACGGATGGCATTAGGAGGAAGTTGATGCAGAGGAAGGGAGAACCACTCGCAAATGCGAAGTATTTCGGGGCTTAAAGGAAAACGCAGGCCAAGCTTAAATTGGATTTCGAAAAAAAGTGTAACAATCCCGTGGAGGATGGTCGAATTTATCGGAGGGAGAAGATCTAAGGAACGCCCAACCAAGAGGTTGGCCGATTCTTTCAGGATTGAACCAAGGGTGAGAAAGAGAAGTAGAAGATGGGCGCTTGGAAGGTTTTTTGGTCGAGGATCGTTTGGGTGGAGAATTCGAAGAGGGAGGAGCAGTGGGCTGCGCAGAAATAACCTCGTCCTCCTCTGGCTCGTCTAATGCGCCAAGGGGAGGTCGACGACGGTGGAGAGGAACGTTATCCATGGTATCCCCGGAGTTTGAAGAAGCGACGCGGGCTGTGAAAACACGGATAGGAACTGTATC